TAAGTCAAAAGCTTTAAGAGCGAAGATGGATAGTAGGTAGCAGCGGAATCCAGGACGAGGGTGGATGTTTCTGCATCCTTGAGTTGATGTTCACTCTGAGATTCGAATCCAATAACATTCGCTTCAAACGCGATCGCATTATCTTTGCTCATAAAATTGTGACCTAAGGCAATATTAAGGCAGTCCGTACAGGATGCACATATGCAAACAAGAAACTGATCAGATGCAATCCTAAATAACAATGAGAAGTTACAAATAAACAACACCAAGTGAATTTAAAACTTCACCCCATTGCACAAGCGGGTGGATATCAGGACTCAGTGGCTAATTGAGTAACGCAATGGCATTTGAAGCGAACGATACTGGGTTCGAGTCCCAGAGTGGAAACCAGGATAAACGTTTCGTCCACTGCTAGCCACTATCCATCTTTACTTATAAAGCTTGTGACCCAATGGCACATATGCCAACAATTTCAGTCTTAAACATCAATGGGAAGAATCAAGTAAACAATATCAAGTGAATTTAATACGATTTCATCAGTTAACAGTTTAATAAAAGCGATTAAAACTAAAATATTCATAATGCTGTTCGTGTCCAACTGAACATATACATTATTTCAAGTAATGTCCAATAAATCTAATAAAAAAAAGATATTAATATCTAATAAAATTCTCTGTAATTTATGTATTACATAATAAATCACATAAAAGCCAGTTTCTTCTTGCTTAGTCAATGAAAATACATAAATAAACTTGGAATATATATAAGTAAATAAGCTTTGACTGAAATAAAATTAATTTCATACAGTTTAATAATAGTGTTGAATAGTTTGATGTGTTTTAATAAATCAATGGTTGAAGTTATATATGTATATACTAGTCGGCAAATATACATAAATCATTGTCTATACTAAAATCACATAAAATATGATTTCATAATAGAATTAAAACGATCAGTATGAATTCATGTCCCTTGATACTTGAAATACATCAACATTACATAAAATAAAAAGCGGAATACATACTTTATCAGTTCTGCATATTGTTATGGTTTGGTTGTTTGTTTTTTTTCTTTCAATGAAACATTGTATAAAGTAAAAATAGGAAAAAGTCTTAGTTTATGACTAAGTATATTATGGAAATATTTCAATAGTTCGTTAAAAAGAAATTCAGCTATTCTCTATTATGTTGTGTATTAAAAAAAGATGTGATAAACGTTTATATTATGTAAAAATCAATCTAGAAGATTATTATTATTATTAGAAACAATGTTCATCAGTTGTTTTTTTCGAATATACAAAACTTGGTAATAAAGATAATTATTATCATTATCCGACAGAAGAAAATATCACACAATTTAGTGAAATATTGATATTCATGAATATTAGAAGCTAATAGTCACTGACGTAATCTAATTTTTTTTCTAGTGCGAAATAAGGACTTAAAGATATCATAAGGATAAATTATGGTAACTTTAGGATAAAACGAGAAACTGAACTCAAAATTCATTTTTAATTTATTTAAAAAGTTTTATAATAAAGAACTATGGAAACGTTATGATATTTTTTCAGGATGTGCTTCCCCTCCCCCTCTTTTTTTTAAACATTCATAGACTGTGTCATTTTGGGGGGGGGAATTCTTATGAAGAAGAAAATCAATAGTTGGTATAGAATAGTAACTGATATAGATTGTTTTTTTAACGGAAGCATTAACTCCATTAAAACCTTTTTTTCCATTAAGGTCACTTCCTTAAACTGATTTTGTCAGTATATTAACATAAAAATTATTTTGTTTTAATAGTATTTATTAAGAAGGTAATTGTTCAGAAACGCTCTCAATAATATGAATTCTAATCGAATGTTTGGGTGGTACCTTTAAATCTAAAATTATTTACTGAAAGTTATGAGTAAGAAAATCAATCTGCTGATTAACGTATCTCCATTTATATAGTTGTTTTAATGAATGTAATGTAATTAAAGGAATATCTCTATGAATTATCCATTATTAGATTGATAATAGATAGCATTTTATTAAGCACACATCGATATATATAGCAAAATATTTTATACATATAAAGCAACAATGAATTTCAGTGTATTGAATGATTCACAAATCTACAAATAAGAAATATCACTGAGATGACGGAGTTGATCTGAAAAACGTGATGTAATTGTGCAAAATCAATTTGTCTTAACCTTGAATTTATCCTGGTAATCCTCATACCATTTTATGGCCTGGGGTAATGCGATAATCTTCTATTCTTTCTATACGAGGTTAGTTTTTTCCTCTCTCCTTTATTTACAATTATTACTTCGCTTACATGAACCTTCATTTAGCTGACCTTTATTAATTTTCATATAAAATACCTTGACAAGTATATGTGTGATCAGACTGTTTGAATACATCACATTTTTCAGATCAATTCCATCTTCTCATTGTTTTATACAAATATCAATACTGTGCATTTGTTATATGTGACTAATTATGATGTTTGATTTCGGGTTGGTTACTTTTATATTTGTTTACATCATAAATTGACACCAATGGAAGATTCATCGATGAAGAATGAAAACTAAACAGATGTTTTGCACAAGTTTGGAACCTTACAAGAATTCATACACACACAAACACACAACCTTACACTAGATAAAAGTCAGGACATTAATGAATCACTATAGACAATGAGAACGTTAGATTACTAAATCGGAATCCAATGATTCAGATGAACAACTTCACTTTATTGTTTAAATTAAATCTAAAACTATCATATATACATCTTCCCATATTTCTTATTTCCTTAACCATTAATAAGATGCTGAATCGATTCAGAGCAAACTTTAGATCATTAGAAAGTGTCAGATTTTAACAATCACGAAAAAATGCAGATCTAGAATAAATGCACTAAAATACTTTTCCTAATAAACATTTAAAAATGAATAGAGGATAACAGTCGTCCAAGGTGAAAAGAACATTTAATCTATGTCTAGTAATTCATTTGTCTGATTTTTATAAAAGTGAATAGTAACAGAAAAAAATTAAAAAGTTGAAAGGAAAAAAAGTAAGTTAATTTTTAATCAATTATTTCATTTCTTCAGAAATCGATCCGAAAACTAAGACATATTTATCATGAATCTTGATGATAATAATGACTGATATCGCTCTTAAGATGAACTGATATGTATTGGTTAGAGAAATATCAGATTATACTTAATGGATAGTTATATTTTATTGACCTTTCCTCTTATTAAAATTGTATAGTTTTGATATTTTGATTGGAAAATGCAAAAGAAACGATTGATTTTAAGTTATTCATATGGAATTATATAATTAGTCTTCAGGTTCTTTTATAACTTATAATGATAACAGTAGGACAAAAAAAGTTTAGATAAATGAATTTTTAAGTAAATTGTAAAATCTATTCATTATGTACCATGATATTAAATTTTTTTTTGAAGAGGACAAACCAACTTTCAGATAAAGAGGAAATGAAGAAAAGACGGTTGAAATGGATAAGACATACATCACAGAAATCGTCAAACTACATTACGTACTTACTTACTTACGCCTGTTACTCCCAGTGGAGCATAGGCCGCTGACCAACATTCTCCAACCCACTCTGTCCTGGGCCTTCTTTTCTAGTTCCATCCAATTCTTGTTCATTTTTCTCATGTCCATCTCCGTTTCTCGGCGTAATGTGTTCTTTGGTCTTCCTCTTTTCCTTTGACCTTGAGGTTTCTATGTGAGGCCTTGTCTTGTGACGCAGTTGGGTGCCTTCCTCAAACTACATTACGAATCAATCATAACTTGGAATCGTGAAGAGAAACGGAAAAGGAGAAGGTCAAAGAACACACTACTTCGAGAATTGAAAGCAGATATGAATAGGATGATTAACAACTGGAAAGAACCGGAAAGGATTGTTCAGGATAAGGTTAGTTACAAAATACTGGTAGGTGGCCTATGCTCCTCCATTCAAGGTAACAGGCGAAAGTAAGTAATTCATTAATTAAATAGTGATTTTGTAAATGAAAAACACGAATTATTATCATTCACTTTTAAAATCATAAGTTTTGTTAGTCAATATAATAGAAATCGTGGAATCATCAGAAGAGAAAATCGATGAAAATAGAACATAAAATTTTGTCGAAATTTTGTCACTTTTTTTATTGAAACTAATTTTGAGTTGGGTTATCTTTTTTTGTATAAAATAATAAGTTTATTCAAATAAGTAGTATATTGTTTAAATATTTACTAAAGTTGTAATTACGTTAAAAAAATTTAAAAAAAAGAATCACTAGATGGTAACCTCTACGATGAAACACAAGATCATATTCATTTTTTATGAATCTATTGTAGTTACCACTGAACGGATGTGAAATAAGTTTTAGGACAGGTCAAATAAAGTTGAAAAAAACGGGTCATCAGATTTTGACTACCCAGCATAAGATTAAATCTGTAACATATAGGTCTGTTAGTGAATATGATACTTTTAAACCACTTACTCAGAATCAAATGATTTGACTTTTAAAATTTAGCTAGTTCGTTGCCTTTTGTTGTATTTCTGCTTCAACACCTATATTTCTTTATGGTTACCGCAAAATTTGGATGCCAATAGAATTGTCTTTTATGGTTGTATGCTTCTGATGAGTGGTGGACTGGGAAAAAATTACTATACAGTGCTCATTGCTGCTGTTATTTCCGGAAGAATATTACTTCTTGATCATATAAAACATCTGCTTAGCTAATCGTGTTGTCTGTTTTAAAATTTAAATAATTGTTTAGCTATACGTTTAAAACTTTCAAACTGGCATAATTTGTCATTTTTTTCCATTATAATTCAAAATATATTAAACTACTTTAAAGTAAAAGAGGTTCACCAAACTCAACACTCATAGCTACTGATAAAAATACGCTTAAAATTCAAAAAAAATTTGAAAATACTATGTTCATAAAATATCCAACTGTTACGTAGTACAACCGATTTATTAATATTATCACACTTACTTTCCGTGATTTACAGACTCCAATCAATGGAAGTATTTCATGTTTTGAATGTGTTTCAAATGTTTGTGAATTATCATTACTTATGCATTCATTACACACCGGTATATGACAATTAACACAATACAGATTTGGTATTATATTTAAGTGTGACATACATGGTGTAGGTTGATTACGTTGTTTTTGTCTAATTATTTTTACACCTTCAGTTGCTGAATGTAATGCATGACGATTTAATGGTCCACGAGCTGGATGACATTTTTCACGACATCGTGTACAATAAAATATTTCACATTGTTCACACCAAAATGTTGCTAAACAATTTTGTTCATTCACTTCAGTTTTATTGGTTTCTGAAGATAATGGATTTTCCGTTGGGATATTAGGTTCTTCACATAACTGGCAAAGTGGTCCACCTGGTCTATTAATTGGGTCTGTGTTATTGTTTAATAAAAATGGTTCCAAGTCTGCACTCAATTTTAGTGAATGAGGTGATTGATCAGGGCCTATAAATTTAGATATTATCCGTTCAAGAGCACGATTTCTCGGGAGATGACTTAGTCCCTTATCATCAAAAAGACCAACGACGTGGTTACATATGGGACATATTAAGCCACTTGTAACTTGACTTATTGAAGATGAAGAGATACTGTAGGTTTGACTCGGACCTAAACCTGAAGTTGATGAACATATTATAACGGGTAGTCTTCCCACATAACTACCTGGTCGACTGCTAACAATTACACCAGAATCCGTCTCGCTAACAACACTCATTTGATCAGAATCTGAAGGTATGTTGGAAGTACAACCCATAATTTGTGTGTTTCCTTGTGAGTTAGAAGTACTGGGACAACCTATACTACTTCCTGTTGTCGATGAAGACGAGGATGAGGATTGAGGAGGACCACTAGCAGGACTAAATGTCTCAGCTGTTGATAAGTGCAGCGCTGCTGCAATCGATGCCGCTATGCTTGGTTCGCTAGCGGGGAGTAGAGCTCCAGCTGCGCATAAATTGCACAGGGAATGTCCACATGGTAACAGTAAAGGACATTGGAAAAATCGCCTGCAAGATGGGCAACGTAATTCGGAATCCATTTTATGCACAGCTGTAAGTGTAGCTGCTATAGTGTGTTGACCAGCTGAGGCTTGTGCACTACCAGTGCTTCCACTACTCGATGCACTCATGAGGCTTGAAGCAGAAGAACCCAGCATAGGCTTCATAGAAGATTACTTCACAGATAATTATTGAAAATAGTTCTTGTAACAATATTTATGGTAATGTTAGCAATAAGATTTCCATAAGGAGTTGTGCATACATAAATTATCCATATATTTCGTTATAAATCCTTGCAAGATTATAAACGATATCCGTTAATTTCTATATAATGTTACAACTAATGATATGAATATTAATAATAATAATAATAGTTCAAAAATAGCCCCCAATAAGTCAATGTACTATTTTAATGTATATTTATCTATTTTATCTTAAAAGCTGCCTATTTGGCAAAGCACATAAAATTATAGGTAAGGGATAACAAATATAGACATGTAAGAGAATTCTGAGGTAAAACGAAAAAAAAACAGAATCAGAAAGATGTAACCTGATTGGTTGAATAGAAGATATGATGACTTTCTATTAGTTGTATTTTATTTCTCCTCATTGACCTAATTGAAGATTGAACAGGCTAGTATAGTCAGTTGAAACAATCAAAGTAATAACTACAATCATATAAACTAGTTATAATAGCATAAAATAGCAATTTTGTCAAATCTGAAGTAAAACACGGCATATAGCTACAATAACTAGGCTAAATCAATAGTATAATAGTGATTCGAACTTTATGCAGAGATGGGTTGTAGTCATCAGTGGAATCCAGGACGCGCGTTTCGTCCTATTTGGGACTCGTCAAATGACTGTCCCAAGATCTACTCTTTGACTTTATCCTATTACCGTTCGTCACGAACGCCATCGCATTATCCACTTAGCTATTCATCTCTTCTTAACGATTCTTATGACTCAACAACAGTGTTGAAACAATCCATGCAGGATGCACATATGCAAACAAGAGACTGATCAATTCCAGTCCTAAACAACGAAAAGAATATTCAAATAATCAATAAAATGAAGTTAATTTAATTGCTTATTCTCTTATATCACAAAGCGATTTTTTAAAAAATCTAACTTTGCTAAAATTAATATTCATTGAAAGCTGACTTTAATTTCAAATGGGATGAAATTCATGGAATTGTCAATACTTATTACCGCTGAGGAGTCCCAAAATAGGACGAAACAGTCGTCGAGTGCTTCCAGGTTTTCCATGGTGGTCTAGCTTCAATTGGCTCATGATCTTAACTATTGAAATTACTATAATATCTACAGAAACCCCATTCTGATATTAATACTTATTTTGTGGTTAACTGAAAGATGATGACTCATGGTATCGCTTTTCAAGAATAAATGCTGTTATAATTAATGAAGAACCTGAGAATCCTTAATTACATTTGATATAGATCAACCTGTGGATATTGTTGTGGTTGAAATCAATAAAAATATATTCACTAGATTTAATAACATATCATTATTTTAATTTAATATTTCTTATCTTGTATAAGCTTCGTCACAGTTAAATTCAATGGATTTTTTCAAAACTTTTAAGTATACATATGTTTTGTATTGACTCTAGGTTAACTTCTTTGATACATTCCATTGATTACAGAAGTCTGTTAATCTAGATTTGTGATGTATTTTTTTCTCGCCAACTGGAAAGACTTTCTGTAACTCTTTTTTTTCATTCTGTCAGACAATATTTCAATCAACATTGAATCATTCACATATAAAATTACACAACAGTTAGGGATGTCTCAAATACATAATATATGTATGAACACAACTGACACTAACCCGTTAAATTTACTATGAAAGTTTGAAAGGGAATTTATGATATATTATATTTCGAGAAAGTGGATGGAGTATACACTGAGAAAATCATCAAACTGCATCAAGAGGCACACGATCACTTGGAATCCTAAAGGGAAATAGAAAAGAGGAAGTTCAAAGAATAAACTGTGTGGAGAATTGGAACCAAACACAAATAGAATGAATAACAACTGGGAAGGAGTTTTCAGGACAGAGTTTAATGGACCTTTGCTTCTACACGAGAGAGGATGGTAACGGGTGTAAGTAAACAATATTTCAATAACTATCATAGTTCTATAAACGTAAATCTTTAGTCAAATAAATAAGAACTAGCAATTGAAATACACAGGCAGCTTCATTCTAATCAATGTATGTCAATGAATTAAAATTCAACTAGATCCAGTTTTTACAAGTCTACAATTAAATTAAATAAGCATTTTAAAATCTGTACTACCTTTCATCATCATCATCATCATCAAAACATGTCCGCTACATTTGAAATATATTTACTATGAATTAGATACACAAATAGTTTAATAATTTATCTTTCAAACATCAGTACTGTGTACGAATAGCTTAGAACATGAAGAATCAATTACTAATTTTTTTATATACAATCAAACTATAATATTCAATTCATAATTGTTGTTGACAGTAAAGTTAAGACATAGTTTTCTTTTTCCTTTCTGAATAGATGAAATCATGACTTTTTTGTGTGATTATTTTACTTTTAAAAGAAAAAGTTACACTATTCATTGAATGAACGTCTGAAAATTATCCCCAAGGAATTGGAATCTGTCTTTGTGTAACTTTTTTTCTCTTTAATTGTCATTGATGTTCTTTTTTCCATAAAATTTTGTAGATGAATTGTATAAAGGTGTAGAACAAAGTTAATGAAAGTGAAAAAGAAAAGATTCACATTATTAAAATGAAGAAGAAAAAATTAAATTAACATTTACTTTTACTTAGGAAACGTTTTTAGGAAAAAAATTACATAATTCTAGTCTTATTTGGCATAATCATATGTTTTATGCCTAGGAAAATGTAAAACTGAACTTATAAAACATTTTCTCTAGTTATCTAAGCAAGATATTCCATATCCTTTGACCAAATACCACCAATAATAGCCTACTGTGGGAGAGAACAAACCAATATCCAGATGAAAGGGGGAAATTAAGAAAAGACGATGGAAGTAGATAAGACATACATCACAGAAATCATCATACTGCATCAAGGGTGAAGCGCTTACTTGGAATTTTGAAGAGAAACGGAAAAGAGGAAGGTCAATGGACAAACTGTGCTGAGAACTGGAAGAAGACACGAAAAGGATGGATAACAACTGAAGACAACTGGAAAGAATTTCTCAGAACAGAGTTGGATGGAAAAAGCTGATAGGCGACCTATGCTTCTCCACGGGGAAAGGGCAACAAGCATAAGTTAGTTGAAAGAACAACTAATGCTAGCACATACATTGTGTTATATATATATGCATAAATCTATGGTTTGCCTACCAAAACACTTTAACGTCTAGATTTCGGAACAATGAAGGCAGAGAAAAATTTTTTAATGGTTTCATTTATTCACATCATTATTATTTAAACAATATTATTGCTTCAGTTACTATACCGGTTTTATGATGATCTGTTGTCAATTGACATTCATTACCTGACTTGTTTAATTTTAATTTGAGACTAAACTATGATGTATGTTTAAAAAATTCATAAACCACCTCATAACATAGATATTGCGACAAATATTATCCAAGTAATCGACTGCATAGGAATTCAATAGATAACATGCCAAATGTCAGTTAATTTGTTATATAACGCTGTTCTCATACATTCAGGTAATAAACAAAGTTTATTCATATAAGCAAAGATGGGTAGTTGCTAGCATTGGATTCCAGGATGCGCGTTTCTTCTTATTTGGGACTCTTCAGCTGGACGTACCTGCATCCTAGACTTGATGTTCACTCCGGAACTTGAACCCAATATCGTTTGCTTCAAAGGCCATCGCATTATCCACTCAGTGACTGAGTCCTGATGGCCTGATAGATTATTAATTATAAAAACACAACCTAATCCTTTAAGCTATCCAGCTACTACATTTTTATTAATGTTTCTCAAGCTGTTGTTAGCTCGTGATATAAAATTGTGATACCAGTAATCTTTCAAGGTAGATTTTAATATTTATTTCTATCGCTTTTATAAACATTCTGTTGATAAGCTTCACATTAAAAAAAGCTGAATTAGATCAGGATTTTTTATCGATCGTTCACTTGTTTACATTCTCTTTTTTTCTGGAAATCATTTTATCCATCTTAGAATGTAACTTTTCTAATTGCATGACTTATTGTAGTTCAGTATCCTACATCCCTCACAGGCTAAGGCGGTTTTAAAAACTAAAGTATCAGTTGTCCACTCAACTTCATGAGCATGTACAGTTCATAAGAAGGTTGGAAAAACTTGAGGTAATCAGATTGTTTACTTTTTTTTATTCAAGTCAAGTAGAGAAATAGGAAATTTAAAAAGAAAAATTGTGCTACTCTAACCCAAGTTTTCTTAAGTCTGCACATAACTGATAAAAACGGAGATCATTTAACAACAGTTGACCGAAAATGTTTACCTCCAATTATGCACTCACATGATTTTATCACATCACAAATAAACAAATCTATTTATAAAAGTACACAATTAAAGTGACAGACTTACTGTTTGAATGAACACAAAATAATAGGGGTTATGTTTTTTATAATGACGTACAGACTTCATGGTTCTTTTGGCCAGAGACAACGGTAACAAATATCTCAAATAATAGAGTGGTTTTCTAACATCCAGAATTATCCATAAAATAAACAAATAACATTATGTCAAACAATAAAATATACTCAAGGAACTGTTTTATTATGTAGAGAAACTTACGGTACATTCAATTATCTTTCCATACATTGTACAGATTATGCTGAGCAACCTTATAGATGACTGTTTATAACATTTATAAAGCTATATCTTTGAGTCGTTTTGGAAACAGATAGGTTTCAGTCTGTATTCCGATAAGTGGAAAATTGGTTAAAATTTCATTTGAGTAATAAAGTATCACGACTAATTATATCAAGAGATAATAAAAAGTCCACAAAGCCATCTCACGTAATATTAACAGTTATTTAATCAATGATAGCTATCTAAGCAAATCCTCTGATGTTTTCAGGAAAAGCAACAACCTTAATCAAACAAATCAAAAATAAGTTACCAGCATTATACCATTAAAAATTTTCAAATGTTTGATGAGTGGATAATCAGTTTCTAACTCAGTGGATCAACACTTCAGTTACTTACTTACTACTTACTTACGCCTGTTACTCCTAATGGAGCATAGACCGCAGACCAGCATTCTCCAACCTACTCTGTCCTGGGCCTTCTTTTCTAGTTCCATCCAATTCTTGTTCATTTTTCTCATGT